TTTTATGTCCGATCAAAAGAAATATTGACTTATGGTTGGCTTTAACGAAATCTAGACAATATTCAAAATGGGTGGCTTTAACGAACAAATTACACGGTTGTTCATGTATTGCATATGAACCTTACTTTGATCGGTTCTTAAATGATCTTAATCTACCTGTATGTATCAAAAAAGTGGTTTTTGGTTGGTCTTGTGTAATTTTATAAGTTTACAATTTAGGTTAAATTTGTGTGATTTTTTGTTGGTCTCATGTAATTTTAGAAGTTCATCATTTATACAATTTTGTAAAATTTTAAACATAATACTACATATAAAAATACATATTTCTTTTGTGCTATTTTTGTAATTCTTCGTATCGTGTCGCTATCTAAATAATTAAAGATAATGTTGCATATATAGCCTTCGAATTTTGAGTGTTTTATCTATCATTATAGTTGGTTAATTTGATCTCTTTTTGTAATTTATTGATTTTTTATGCAATGATTAAATTGATTTGTAAAATTATCATTATAGTTTTATCTCTCTTTTTTAAACATAATACTATATATAAAAATACATATTTCTTTTTTAGCAGTGAAAGTTTTTTCCACTATTTTAAAAAATTATTCAACTAAATTTAATTATTGTCAATTTAGGTACAGTAAACTATCTATTTCGGTCAAATCGAGCATAACTCAACGGTAATTGATATATATATCCAATCAAAAGACTGTGAGTTCAATTTCTTACCCCCACATGATCTACTAAAAAAAACTATTTATCTCTGACGAAAATGTTTTGTGTTTGAATTTTCATTCAAGTTGTTTTACACAAAAAAAAAAAATTTAGTCATTGAAATATTAAAGATCAACCACTTGGTCGATCCAAAAATTAATTAAATTTTACGCTAGGAAAAAAAGAAATTTTAAAAACACTGCGAGAACCATGCCCATGTATATTATTCAGTTTTTTTTTTTTTTTTTGCAAGTAGTTGTTTGAATGAGAAGGTTGGTGAGCTGAATTTATTACAAAGTTTAAACAAAAAAAAAATTATTTTAGTTTTAAAATTTTCATATTTTTCATGTTGGTACTTAAATTTTTTAGGTATTTTGTTTTAATTTCTCTACCTATTAATATTATATTGGCTCACTAAATGTTTTATAATGCTAGAGTATTTTTTTAATTTGACCGGTAATGTTTTAAGACCTTCATATTTTGTCACCTATGTATTGATTCTTTTTTCATTTAATTGCTTAAGAAAACTAAATATTAAAAGAACAATGGTATATTAATCTTAAAATTGTACTTTAATTTTGATGAGTTTGTCAATAGTAAATATATCAATAATTTAACGGCTCATTTTTTTTTAATAACAGCAAGCAATTTGAAATTCAGTAGACGACTGATTACTAAATCATATAAATACTAAATCATATAAATTGAGTAAGTTTCTAATTTATGGATGAGTAGTATGTATATATTTTATCAAATTAGAATATTGATTATTTTTAACTCAACTAATAAAATGTATTTTTATATCACATTACCATTTTATCATTTCATTTTAATGATGAAATTAAAACTTTAAAAATATTAGAGACCAAATTAAGAAGGATATTTAAACGTTGGGAACTAAAACTTATATTTAGTCTATTATATTTTAGTTCTTAAAGACCTTGCATAAAAAATTAAATTTTAGTCATCGTAATTAATTCTTCGTTACTCCTTGATAAACATTTGCATTTATTTTAGTACATGAATTACTGCATGTGAATTCAAATACTTTCACACTTTACCCATTTAATCAGGTAAGTAAATAAATAAAATCACTATAAGAACTGCAACAAATTTTTAAATGGAACTAAACCATAAATTTAAAAGTGTAAAGAGAAAAAGTGAAAGAGTATTAATGTTGAGAAAATAAAATGCAATTGTAATAAAAATAATTAAAATAGAACAATTATATATATACACACTGATTCTGCTCATAAATATGAACATCAAATATTATTTTAGCATCTTTTATTTTGATTTATGTACTGTTATAATGTTTATTTTTATTTTTATATTTTATATTTTTATTCATTTTAAACTTCATACTAGGAATAACTATTTTTTCTAAGCTCTATTCTAGTAGGAACTACACCCTCAAAGATGCAGGAATCTCCATTTAGATTTGTGGATTTCTCGCAAGACTATGATGGGAGAGCCTTTTCCCTTTATCTAAATGGAGACGAGGACAGGAGATACGCTTTGATCCTCGTTCTCAATTTCCTGTCCCACCATACTTTTTGAAATCTAATCTCTACAAATTTCTTGTTGAGAATTTCCACCTGGATCTTTGTAAAATTTTGTGGAGAATTAAATGGGGAGCAGTGAAACTTTTCCGTTCCCACCCCGCTGGTTAACATTCCTACTTCACGCTTTTAAAAAGTCAATTATGGTTTCTGTACTTCTGAAAAACGACTATTATAATAGTTTTTTAACATTTAACACAAAATTTTTACCAAATAATTGAAATTTATTTCTATATTTTAAAAGTTTAAACGAGTAAAATGTCATTTTAAATTTTCATCAAAATAAATTAGATAAAAATATGAAGGAAGGGATTAAATTTAAAAAATATATAAATACCAAAACAAACGATTAGAAAATAATACCGAAATATGCACCGCGGAGAACTAAAAAAAAAATGGAAGCCGACAAATAGCGAATTTGACGGTCCATTTGTCCGAATTTAGAAGAATGTCAGACTCAAACCCCACGATGTGGCTGACCATTTCATTCTCCTTTTTTGTTTTATTCAATTGTTAATTCCTTTTTTTTTATTTCTTTAATATTCTTTATCCCAACAGAATTAATCTATATTTGTTATTTATTATAATTAAAATCAAAGACAGCCCACGTTCAAACATTTTTAGATTATAAAACACAAGTCTAATTCTTCTCCCCAAGCATGCTTTCGAGTGATGAAAGATATTTAATACTATTTCGATTTTTCACTCTCTAATTATTGAACTAAAATAAATTTTTTAACAATTTTCAAATAACCGATGGGAATCCAAAATTCCAACTTCTTGTCGAGGTGAATTTTCATGTGAGATGTGACAAGTCCTGATAGGATAAGAATGACCCTTAAATATCCGATTGATACCATATAAATAATCATGAGGTTTTATCTCAAAATCAATTGGCAATGAGAGGAGTAGTTCATGTCTATTATAAACCTACGTAAGTTCCCTTCTTTTATCAATGTGGGATCCTTAACAATCTACACATACTCTGATAGAGTACGCTCCAACATATTTCACGACAATATGTCGTATTTCTCGGTTGCCTTAAAGAGTCGTTAGAGCTCTGTCGAAGGCCCTATCAAAGATTCCGCTTATAGATAGAGACCAATATTCGCCTCTATCCTAGGGACGCAAAACTATATTTTCTCTCATATATAGTCAACTCTCTATTGACTTAGGCGTAGCCGTGTCTTCTATTTTGCAGATCCTCTGTTCGACACATTTTTAGCTCGTCCTCCAAGTCATCCTCTGTTTGGGCTGAGGTTCGCAGACTTGGTCACTTTTCTGATCAAACATGTTGGTTGTTAATTTTAGGTTTTATTCTAAATCTTCAGCATTGTGTTCGAATTTTAAAAATATTGAATAGGCTTTGATTTTCAATTTTGTGCCTTAAAGTATTTTGCCTAATTATTTGACCTAAAATTAAGAAGGGTGGTTTATTCATCTTTAATATGGTATCAGAGCGAGAGGTTCTGTGTTCGAACTCCATCAACTTAACTTTTGAGTTGAGTGGTGGTTTATTCATCCTTAACATATAACTTATAACTTTTATACCGCACAACTATTTCTCAATCATTTAAATTTCTTCCCCTGGGTCCACAGGGTGAGTAGTGTTTCCAAATGATATATATTTTTTATTTATAATTTAATTAAAAAACATTAACTATAAACTTGTTTGACAATATGTTTTTATTTTTGTTTTAATAGTCTTGTTTATTTAAAATCTAATTATTAATAGTAACGAGCATAAAATGAGTGCTACACGGAGGGAGAATGTAAAGAGGAAATCCCCTTGGATGATATAATGTTCCAACTTCGTCACGATGTTTATAAATTTCTAACTATTTTATGAGAATATTACATTTGAACTATTATATTTTTTGCTCCCTATCGAGAAAACAGTGTTTTTAAATTCTATTTTCTTCAAATGCGTAATAAAAACAAAATTGGAGTCTCATTTAGAAAAAACAAAATACGTGACGAAATAACAGCGACCAAAATATTATAAATTTAAAATTTCATCCTCACATGAACTTAAGTACATTAAATAGGGGTAGAAAGATTTGAACTCATGACCTCTTAATAAAAAACATGTATTCTAATTACGTTGAGTTAAGCTTATGTTGATCAAAATAGGTCGACATATATTTAAAGATAAGAGCTATTATTCAAATTTAAGAAGTTAAATGGAATAAGTTAAATTAATTATATTTAAAGTTTCTTTTAGTTTAATAAAGAGATAAGATTTTTTAGTGGTGGGTTACTTGAACCTATAAACTTTTGGTTGACCTTGCATAAAAAGAGAGATTTGAACCTCCTTTAATCGCTTCAGCAGTTGAGTTATTGTTAGGTACACAAATTAGGATATATAAAGGTATTGATTAACGAAGATTAAACCCCATCATTGCATGAACCTTTGCTGAGTTGTAGTCTGCTTGCTTTTGGGCCCCAGAGTGGACTCTTTAGCTCCAATCATAAAATTTCACATACAGAAGAGAAAAAAAAATCATAAATGCTTAAACAAATTATGTGGAAGTCAAATTCTGTTAGCACATTACCGTCACAGCGTTGGGTATAAATATGCCATTCATTTTTCATTCATCTCTCAGCTTCAAATTCAATCAACCAAAACGAAACCTTCCTAAAGCTTTGATTTCTGCTGAAAAAAATGGAGTCTTTGGGAGCTGTGTCTGATGGGGAATGGGATTCCTTCACCGCCATGTTCTCCTGCCAAGAGCTGGAGCAGCCCCCCCTTCCCATGGCGGAACATCAATATGATAATTACAATAATGCCGCCGCCGCTTACAGTAACAGCAGCTCATGGTTTTATTCCTTGGACGCTTTTGATCCCAATTTTCAGACCGACATGAGCTTGAGCTTGAGCTGTAGCAGCTGCAGTACTGATAATTCTAGTGGCAATGCCAGCTTTTTGTTTCCCAATTCTTTGACGACCCACGACTTGTTTATGTCGATTGACGATGACACCAATTTTGGGTCCTCATTTTTGTCGGATGTGTTAATGGGGGAACTCAAAGTGGATAAGGCTGATCTCGCCGCCGCCTGCGACGGATTATTGCAGATTCCGCCGCCTCCCGAAAATGAACCAATTGCATTGAAAAGGAAAGTCAATAGCGGAGACTTCTCCAATGATCAGAAGGTCACCAAGAAAACTCGGATTTCAGGACATGTAAGAAATTAGCCCCCTTTTTACACATCTTTAACTTTCCCTTACCATGTCTTAATCATCTAGTTTTTTTATTTTAAAATATTTATATTTATGTTTAAAATTCAGGGGCAAAAGAGGAAGAAAACCCACAAGGCAAAAGGCGTGAGCGTTGAGGAAGAGGACAATGCAGCAGCGGCAGAAGCTGAAGGGCAGAGCTCGGTTAGTTACAGTTCAGAGGAAGAAAATGGTTCCCAGGGTGGCGGCGGCGCCACCACCTCCGACGGCGGCGTGAGCGGAAAAACCACCAGAGCCAGCAGAGGGTCGGCCACGGATCCCCAGAGCCTCTACGCCAGAGTACGTTCATTGTTCATAAGCTGCATCTTCTTCTGATCAATATGTTTAATTAATTAATTAATTTATTGATTTGTTTTTTTTTTTTCCTTTTTTTCTTTGTTATGGTGCAGAAACGAAGAGAGAGAATCAATGAGCGATTGAAAATCTTGCAGAAACTTGTTCCCAATGGAACCAAGGTTGATATCAGTACCATGCTTGAAGAAGCTGTTCACTATGTTAAGTTTTTGCAGCTTCAAATCAAGGTAAAACAAATCAAATCTTTTCAAATTTTAATAATTTGTTTCAAATACAAGTTTCAAAACTTTTTAAAAGTGATAAAAAATAATTTTTTTATATGATATGGAAGCAAGGATTGAATCTTCCACATCTAAAAAAGAAGCAAGTTTTCTTAATTGTTGAATTAAGCTCGTGTTGAAGTTGAAAGGTGAATTTTCAATTTTAAATACATAAATTTTAGAAAATATTGAATAGGTCAAAGATTTATTAAACATCTGATATACAAAATTGAAGTTTAGATTGGGATGTGATATCGCTCCTTTATAAATAAATCGCACACCTATTTGTTAACTTTATATATATATATATTGATAAGATTGCAATGGGAAAAAAATGTGTATATAAATATATGATTTTAAAAATAATTTTCCTACAAAATATTACTTTTTTTTAGCTTAAAATTTTTTTTAATGAATTCTTAAAATATTTTTATAAAAGAACGGTGAAGAAACTATTATCAATCAAACCGACCTTCAATATTTTTTCTATTTTCTCTTGACTTTTTAAAGATTAATTAATTCAACATCCGAATTTACTGAAATGCCCTTGTGTTATTTTTGTACAGTTATTGAGCTCAGATGAGATGTGGATGTTTGCTCCTTTGGCTTACAATGGAATGGACCTTGGTCTCCACCAGAAGCTCTCTCCATTTCTTTCACATTGAGACACAATTTTATTTCCCTTTCTACCCTTGTAATCTTTAATTAACTTAATATAATTAAGATAAATATAGATATTTTATCCTAAGTTTAATGGAATAATCGTGAAGAGAATCTTCATATTATAAAATCGTCACCATCTGGCTTTAGACTCTTATGGCTGATGGCAGCAAAAAATTCAGCTAATTTTGCTACCTTTTATTATATAATATAATATCTTAGACTTGTATAATTATGGTTCATGTAGCTGGAATTAATATTTTATTATTCGTTTGAAGATTATAAACCATTTTCTTTTAATTCTTATATTAAATGCATCAGATTTCTACTTCTGCGGTCAAAGTGGAAAATATCCTTAAAAAAATATGATGATAGTGGCATAACCTAAATATGTAATGCAAGAAAAATTATAGCAAATACCCAACATTTATAATGTTAATTTTAAGGTTGATTTTAGTTGCAGAGGCAAAAAAAAAAATAATAATAATAATAAATAAATAAATAAAAATTAAAAAAAAGAATAATAAGTTTGATTCTAAAAATTTAGATTTTTTTTACAAGAATGAGGGTGGAGATTCAAACTCATAACTACCTGGTCAAAGGTAGATGTTAATTACAAAATTTTAGATTTATGCCTAATAAAGTTCTAAACTTTAAAATTTGTTTAATGGATTTATAAACTTTTAATTTCATGTCTAATAGGTCGCCAAACTTTAAAAATAAAATTAACAAATTTATTAGACATAAAATTGAATTTTATATTCAATAGAATCCTAGACTTTCAATTTTATGTTTAATAAGTTCATGAATTTTTAAAATATTAAATAGAATAAAGGTCTGTTGTATACATAATTTAAAGTTTAGGGATCTATTATACACAAATTTAAGATTTATTGGATATTTTTTCAAGTTTACGAGCCTATTAGACAAATTTTAAAAGTTTAGAGATTTAAAGTTTCTAATTTTACATTATGCTTGTCTATTTATTTTATCATTTTATATTATATTCAACATTATTAATTTACAATGTTACTTATGCATAGATGAATAAAATCAGTATACTTTTTGCAAAATAGAATAGAACCTATTACACCCGAAATGAAAATGTAAAATTTAGCTACATATCTTCCTCTACATAGATCAGGAAAAATATTTTTAAAAAATTATTCAATTTTATAGATTCGGTCACTGACTCACTGTTCCTTAAAGGACGTTAACTAGTAAAATTTTTAATATTGATTTATATTTTAAATTTTCATTATTGAGAAATAATATAATCATATGATTTCATATTTCAAATTTTATACTTTTTTTATACACTCAAATTTTATACTTGATATGTACACCTAAACATATGAAAAACTTTAATATGTTGTCTCATCATATAGTTGTTATAATATATGTGGGAAAATAAATATGTTTTTTTTTTCCTTCTAAATTTCATTTCTACTCTTAATATGGTTTTGTCTTGTTATTTGGTGGGTTTTTGAACCATTTTTGCAGCAACATATCAGTCTCATTGTTGTAGTGAGCCCAATAAGTTAGCCCATTATTTTTTATTGTGAAACACCAAAGAAAGTCCCATTTTATTGATTATATTTTTACAACCTAATGGCGGTTAGAAATTTACTTTTCAAAACTATTATTTTACTTTAAAAAAAATGATGAAAATCATTTGGTTCATAGCTTTTGAAAAATGTTTTTATAATTATCCAAGAGGTTGTTTGGGTGTAATTTTTTTTTAAATATGTTAGAATATCAATAATTAAATTTACCGTAATTTATTGGTGTAAATTTGTTGGTTAGGTGATTATTTAAAATTGTATTAGAATAAGATGCCTTGTTATTAAACTCATGAAAAGTCACTCCATTTTCATTCAGTATTGATTATCACTGGTTGAGTTTTGTACAAATTTATTCGCTCACAAATAAAGGAGGTTTAATAAATTATTTTCTAAATTAATCTTTTAAAACTATTTTCTATAGCTACATCTCATCTAGAAATATATATTTCATGATTAAAAAAAAAAAGAACTCGTTGGGACGACAAAATAAATAAATAAAAAAATAAAAAAACATATGAAAACTCAAAATTCAAGCAATTTCTTTAGATTAGTCCATTTCTTTCCCTAATTAATACCCCTAAACATACCTTAACACTTTCTTCTAAAAATTTTTCTTCCCTCTGACATGTACCCCCAAAATATGGTGGCAAACCAACTATTAGACACAGTTTCAATAAAAAAAAATAAAAAAAAAAATTGCCACGCAAGCCCAACCCCCTAAAAAATTATGGGCTTCGTAATTACTATTCAAACCTTTCAGATGGGTTCACAAACCCGAGTCGAACATCCTCTCTCCCTCCCTCTTTTGTCTCTCGTTTTTTTTTTTCAATATCCATTCTTTCAATTATTATTTTACGTTTATAATTAAAATTAAAAAATTTTGACATTGAAATTTTCTAAACAAAACTCTTAACATTTTATTTTAGAATTATATTTAATAAATATAAATTATATTTTAGATGTGATATTATTGTTGAAATTAATATTGCACTATGAATTCAAAAAATTAATATCAGAATACAAATTATACTACTATATAACCAATTTTTTTTTAAAAAAAGTCCACAAAATAATACAATTTTTGGTTTATATTATTTTCAATATTAAATTTGATTTTATAGTAGAAAGATTTTACGTGCAATAATATATTTTAACATATATTTTCTAATTTTTAAGTTTTAGAATTTAAAGCATATCTTGTTCAAAAATAAAAAAGAATTTAAAGCATATCTAAACATATATTTTAAAATTCTAAAACTTCCTTGATAATGATTTTATGTTTTGTTTATTTTTTTAAACCTAGCCCATTTTTGAAACAAACACATTTTATTTTAAAATAATTTTTTTACTTTAAGTTTTTAGAGTTGAAGAAAAATTTTAATTGGATGTGCTTCATTTTATTCTTATACGATAAATATTATTTTAGTTTTAATAAAAATAAAGGAAGTATTGAAGTAAAAATACTATTATTATTATATTTTCTTTTCAACACGTGGGGTGTGGAATTTTGGTCTTTCAATGCCAATGCAGTCAGCCCCAATCTTATCACATTTTATTTTCAATTATTCCCTCCTCTATTTTTACTGTTCCAATAATTTGATTTTGAGGCGAGTTTTTACTTTTTACTTTTTCAACTTTTTTTTTTCAATACAAACATAAATTTTTGAACTTTAATTGCATTGCAATTCTTTAAATATCAAATCTTCTTCTTCTTTCAAGGGATGTTTCCATCCACATAAAGAGGGAAGTTACGTTATCGCAAAAAAAGAAAAATAATAAAATATAAAAATATCAACAAAATATCGACATAATATTAATAATAAGAATTTTCTACTTATCTAAAAATGGTGAAGGCTTATTTGGTAGTTTAAATATTGTTTTTTCATGAATATGCTTATTTTTATGGTGTTGTAAAATATTCATCAATATTTTGTCGATATTTTCATTAATATTTCTACAAAATTTAGACCTCGACATTTTTATCGAAATTGACATTTAAAACTTTGAACTAAAGAATCATACTAATTTTACTTTTACTTATTAAAGTTTACCGCACTATTTAACAAAATTTAAAAATTTAAAGCTTAAATCAAAGGAGTTTTCTTTCCCATATAAATTACCAAATAATACTTAGGTACCGATTGGCTGTAATCACCACCATTTAAATGTTTAACGACAAACGAAAAGTAAAAAATAAATAATTTTTTTTTAAAAGATAATGCGCTTATCAATTTTTCAAATGGCATTACCATAGATATATAGATGTTCACTGATCAATACCTAAGCATTTTCTTAAATTTCTAAAAAATTAGAAAAGTAAATTAATTCTCTTTAAGAAGATTACTTAAAAAAATAAAAATAAAGTACATTTAAAAAATTAATCCAAAAATTGAAACAATTTTCAGATTGGATGCCTATTCAGCTTTGATCCAATTACAAAACTAAGGATGAAAATTGCTTTTATGCTCTCTCCAATTGCAAAGAAAGGAGACAATATGTGCCAAAACTTAGTTCCTAGATTTGTGACATGTCATGCTCCTATTCGTTAAAATATTTCAAAATAATCATAATAAAAGGGAGCACATTCATTATTTAACAATTAATTTAACTAATATAAACTTTTTTATAGAATAATTGTACACATGACTAGAAGAAACAACTTTTTGCAACTTGTGCAGTAGCTTCAACTTATGATTGCATTAATTAATGGTGGCCATATACCAATTTCTCTTACATTTCAAGATTTTTATATAAGCATAATACTTCACTAAAAAAAAGGAAGACAAGATTCAAATTCTCCTTCATTTGTTTGAATTATAATAATTTTAAAAAAATGTTCTTAATTATAGGCGCACAAACTTTCTCATTCAAAAGTGTGACCTATTAAACAGGTATTCATTATATCGATCAAATTGATTATAGAAAACCCTAAATTTTGAACACAATCTAATCAGAGCTATGACTTATAATCACCAGTGAACAATTTTTACCCTCTTGTTTCCATCAAATTGACATCATCCCACTCAAATACAAATTGTATAGTTGAAGAATATCAATGACTACAAATTGAAGTTTTCCTCACACGTTTAGCATTATTCTAATCTAATCAATCTATTATTTCTCTCGCACGATTCTACTTTGTCTTCCACGCGTTGTTTCTGTTATTATTATTCTTAAATTAAAAGGATGTTTTTAAAGTAAGATTTCGAGAATAATATTGTAACATTCCAAATCTCAAGGAGGGGACAATAATGTTGCATATTGAAGGTGTGGTAGCCCCAAGAACGCACAAAGCGGCCACAAAATAACTTAGGGTTAGAACAAAATAAAACTAAAATCAAAGTTGAAGGAAACATTATTATTATTATTATTATTATTATTATTATTATTATTATTATTATTATTAGTGGAGGCAAAGGGTTATTGTTAGGAGGAGATGCCAAAACCGCACA